AAAGCTTGTCCAGATTCTGAGGAAAATTGGTAAAACAGTGTTTTAGTTATAATTCATTGCGCTCTGTCTCATTTTGGAATCACATTTTTGGCCAGGGTACATCTGGCCAACGCTGCTGTGATAGTGCCCCAAGCCTTCCTCTTGGTTCTCATTTAGGTTAGAAAGTAATTAAAGGAGGGTAAAAAAAGAAGTGACAGAGTTACTGACTCCCTTTCCAAAAGTGAAGGGTTTAAGCCAAACACTCGCTAAGAAAATAAACAGAATTTCTTTTTTTTGTTGTGAGTTCTTCCCACATATTGAATTTCCATGCTCAGTGACAAGGGGGATGTGCTCGAGTGAGCAGCAATTGGATTCTGATGGCCTTGGATTTGCTTTGGAAAGCTGGGGCTGTCCTGGGAGAGCAGAGTTTGGACCTGAGCTTGAGGCCTTGCTCTCTAAGGAGCACAAACCTTGCAGCCTGAGTTACCAAGCTGTAACTTCTGTGGCTGTGCCTGGAGATTATTTTCCTGCCCAGTGTCCTGCCTATCTGTGATAAAGCCCTTCCTCCCCATATTAGGCCAACATTTGCTGGTCTGAGCCTAGAAACCCTTTTTAATTGAGGCACATTGCAGAGGTTGGCTTTTTTTGGCACATGTGGGTGTGAATGTCCTTCCCACCTTCTCTCCTGCAAGAAGAGGAAACCCATGTTGGGATCATTTCTGGAGAAAGCAGTAAATTAGGGGCAGTGGGGAGTGTTTGAGCGTGTCCCAACGCTGAGACACTGATGTGGGGCTGTGCTGGGCAGGGGGGTGGGAGATGCTTTGGTGGTCACCACGAGCACCAGGGCTCCTCTGGGCACTTGGGGGTGACAGCAGATGGTCCCAGGGGAAGTGCTTTGGGAGTCCTGGGGTGATAAATTGATAAATGTCTCATGGCTCAGCTCCGGAAGCAGGGCAGGGAAGGATGTGAGTGACAGAGGATTCATATCCTGGAAACGCCGCCGTGTCACGGCCGGGGAATTCAGCAGGATAAATGCATTTGCCTGTCCTGCTGCAGACAATCTGCTTAATGTGGGAAGCAGAGTTTCCTGCAGCACCGAGCCAGCGGGAAGGGAAAACCCTGAGAGGCAGGAAGGGCCAGGGAGAATTAGGCAGGTAAACCCATTAGCAGTGACCACCTCTTTGTGTGGGGATTACACAAAGCTGCTGCTTTTGGATGCTCAGCGTCTGGGGAGGAGCCAGGGCTGCCAGTGGGGCCTCTCCCCTCTCCTGAGGGGCTCGACCCGACCCTGGAGCTGGGATTAGCACTTGCCACAAGCCACCCTCACTGGCCAGAACAAATTGCTGCACGTGCTGAGGGAGAGCCCAAGCTGCAAGGACCGTGGTGATGCTGTGAGGCAGAGGTTTGGCAGGCTTTGCTCAGCAAATCCCTCCGTTCTTCCCAACGGGACCTTCCTCATGGAAATCGCTCCTCTTTGAGGAGCAGACTTACACTGTTCTACTACTCTGGACAGAGGTTTACCCCAGCTCCCTCCTCAGCTTGGGAATTCTTCAGATTCTGGCTCTAAAAGTGGGAGTCAGGGCACAAAGGGGAATAGATGTGCCAAGAGCCTCTCTCAGTCAGGGCATCCCAAAATGGTTTGGGATAATCTTGGGCCAGTGGGGAGGGAGCTCTGGGGTGCAGTGGAGGGTGCTGGGGGAGGGGGGACACCCCAGTGCAGGGAGAGCTGCAGGGATGGGCATCACCAGGGGCCAGGCTGGGGCTGTGGGGCTCCCTGGGTCCTTGCTGGAGCCTCAGAGGGGACAAAATCACAGAATAATGGGGTTGGAAGAGACGATGCTCCCCGAACTGGAGCCTCAGAGGGGACAGAATCACAGAATAATGGGGTTGGAAGAGACGATGCTCCCCGAGCTCATGGTGGCCAGCACTGCATCCCAGAGCTGCCATCCTGTGTGTGTCCTCCGGCAGCCTTCCCAAAATGCCAACCACAGGAAAGCAGCAGAAACCCAAGCTTTCCTTTTGCTTGGATTGCCATCAGTTCCCAGACCTTAATAACAGAGCATTCCAGGCTCCCTCCTCGGGGTTGGTTTGGCTCTTCGGGCCGAGCTCTGTCTCACGGGCAAAGCAGCCGCGGGCTGAGAGGAAGAGGAAGGAGAGGCCACGCTGCGGGATGAGCGCTTTTGCCGGGAGCGCGACCCCGCTCCTGTCCCCCGCGGGGGTCCCGCCAGCCCCGGCGCTGCAGCTCCTCTCGCTCCATTCGAGCGCCAGATGTTGAGCCAGATGTTGGCGCTGCCGCGTCCGCCCGCTGGCGGCGCCGGGGATGCGCGGTCCGCGCTGCCCGAGCTGCGGCGCCTCGGCACCGCCACCTCCCGGCATCCCGGCGGCTCCCGTGTCAGCCTGCGGGCCCAGCTTATTTATTATTTATTTATTTCATTTATTCCTCGGTGCCTTCCGGCATCCCGGCGGCTCCCGTGTCAGCCTGCGGGCCCAGCTTATTTATTATTTATTTATTTCATTTATTCCTCGGTGCCTTCCGGCATCCCGGCGGCTCCCGTGTCAGCCTGCGGGCCCAGCTTATTTATTATTTATTTATTTCATTTATTCCTCGGTGCCTTCCGGCATCCCGGCGGCTCCCGTGTCAGCCTGCGGGCCCAGCTTATTTATTATTTATTTATTTCATTTATTCCTCGGTGCCTTCCGGCATCCCGGCGGCTCCCGTGTCAGCCTGCGGGCCCAGCTTATTTATTATTTATTTATTTCATTTATTCCTCGGTGCCTTCCGGCATCCCGGCGGCTCCCGTGTCAGCCTGCGGGCCCAGCTTATTTATTATTTATTTATTTCATTTATTCCTCGGTGCCTTCCGGCATCCCGGCGGCTCCCGTGTCAGCCTGCGGGCCCAGCTTATTTATTATTTATTTATTTCATTTATTCCTCGGTGCCTTCCGGCATCCCGGCGGCTCCCGTGTCAGCCTGCGGGCCCAGCTTATTTATTATTTATTTATTTCATTTATTCCTCGGTGCCTTCCGGCATCCCGGCGGCTCCCGTGTCAGCCTGCGGGCCCAGCTTATTTATTATTTATTTATTTCATTTATTCCTCGGTGCCTTCCGGCATCCCGGCGGCTCCCGTGTCAGCCTGCGGGCCCAGCTTATTTATTATTTATTTATTTCATTTATTCCTCGGTGCCTTCCGGCATCCCGGCGGCTCCCGTGTCAGCCTGCGGGCCCAGCTTATTTATTATTTATTTATTTCATTTATTCCTCGGTGCCTTCCGGCATCCCGGCGGCTCCCGTGTCAGCCTGCGGGCCCAGCTTATTTATTATTTATTTATTTCATTTATTCCTCGGTGCCTTCCGGCATCCCGGCGGCTCCCGTGTCAGCCTGCGGGCCCAGCTTATTTATTATTTATTTATTTCATTTATTCCTCGGTGCCTTCCGGCATCCCGGCGGCTCCCGTGTCAGCCTGCGGGCCCAGCTTATTTATTATTTATTTATTTCCTTTATTCCTCGGTACCTCCCGAGCATCCCGGAGGGGATGCGCGGTTCCCGTGCCAGCCTGCGCGGCTGAGTTTATTTATTTTCCTCATTGCGCGATGCCCCCCGCCCTGCAGCCCGGCCCTGCCCAGCGACCCTCTCACAGCACACTCGGGCTCGCAGCACTTACCGGGAAAAATATTCACGATTTTATTAAACCTTATAATTCTCCTTGTTTGCCTCTCGCGCTGAGGACGAACACCCCGAGGCGAGCGTGGTTTCTCCGGGCAATGCTGGCTTGTCCCTCTGTCTGAAGCAATTACTGCGGCTCCCCCGGGGATTATTTCCAGACCAGGCGTTGACATTTTTCCCCAGCCGGGTGTCAAGCCGTACCTGCGGGGGCGGTGTCGGGGCAGCAGAAGCCCAACGAGAGAGTGCCCTGGCTTAATGAGGTGTTGCAAGGCAGCACAGCTAAATCCAGCATTGCACGGCCCAGCCTTCCACTTTAATTAGAAACCTGGATCTCCCGCTCATGCATTAATTCACTTTTTTGGCTTGAGCGACAGCTCAGCCTCTCACAGGGAAGGTGACTGCTGTGTTTAAGAAGTGTGGGTGTTGTTGGCCGTCCACATCCCCCTTGTCTTGCCCAGGTTTGTGCTTGCCACGGGAATATCATGCTGTGCCCACCAGAGCAGCCGAGCCAGGCAGTGGTTGGGTGCCTCTCTGGGCCCAGAGGAGCAGCTGGGACCTGCAGAATCCACCTTTCCCCTCTATTTCCTTGCAGATCCCACAGGTGGGAAGGACCTGGCACATGCTCCTTCCCAGCTGTGGCTCCAGCACTCCCATGCCAGCTCCCTGTTTGCCTGGCAGCCCTGGGATAACAGAGATGCTATCAGTGCTGTGCAGCAAGTGCAGAAGTTCAGGAGAGCAGTAATTAGCAGAGCAATTGTAAAGTACAGCAATTAGTGGCTAATTGCTGCTGCAGAAATATGCAAGGCAGCCTTTTTATTCCTTCCTCCATGTGGGGTGGCTGATCAGGTTTGCTGGGAGCAGGGAGCACTGGTGTCTTTCTTGTCCCTGTCCTTGAAGGCAGGATAGGACAAGGGGGAAATGCTTTAAGATGAAGGATGGTAGATTCAGATTTGATATTAGAGAGAAATTCTTCCCCGTGAGGGGGGTGAGGCCCTGGCTCAGGTTTTCCAGAGGAGCAGGGGATGCTCTGGGTGGAGCATGGCAGCGTGGTGCCCTGCTGATGTTCTCAGCTGGCAGGAGTGGCTCTGGAGCTGCCCTCGAGCTGCTTGGGAGACGTGCATTGTGCCAGCAGTGGAGAAACTCAGCTTCACAGGGGCTTTGGGAGCCACCCAGGGGCCTCAGGGCCGTTTTTAGAGCTCCATTTGGCCAGACACAGAGGCAGCGGGAGGAATCCCTCTGGGAATGGGCATGATGCTCTGCCACCCTCGTGCAGCCCCTTGCTGTTGTACATCACACCCTCACACCCATCCTCGCTGGGACAGCCTCAAGGTGGCCTGGAATGACTTATGAACAGCTTGTAGAAGAGACATATTTACTTAATAAATAAATACAAATAACATATGGCAGGTACTAGCATGAAACACACACTGCTGATGTTGTGAGGAGATAAGGTCTGAGGCTGGAGCTCTGCCTAGTTCAGCTTAGCATGCCCGGCTGGCACTTAGCAGGCTGGCCCTGGATAACGGGACTGCTGCTGCAGTCTGGCACTGCTCGAGGGCATGGCAGAAGCTACACACCTGGGTGGATAAATACACCAACACACAGTGTCCAGGGAGCTTTGCCTTAGAATGCCTGGGGACACAAAGTGTGCGCTTCTCTGGGAACCGGCGCGACCCTCGGGCACATTTCTGGGTGCCTGGCAGGGCAGGTCCTGCGAGCTGCAGCGTGGTCATGGCACACAGGGCACAGGGCTGAGGGTCATGGCACACTTGGGCACACAGCCAAGGGTCATGGCACACACGGGCACACAGCTGAGGGTCATGGCACACTTGGGCACACAGCCAAGGGTCATGGCACACACGGGCACACAGCTGAGGGTCATGGCACACTTGGGCACACAGCCAAGGGTCATGGCACACACGGGCACACAGCTGAGGGTCATGGCACACTTGGGCACACAGCCAAGGGTCATGGCACACACGGGCACACAGCTGAGGGTCATGGCACACTTGGGCACACAGCCAAGGGTCATGGCACACACGGGCACACAGCTGAGGGTCATGGCACACTTGGGCACACAGCCAAGGGTCATGGCACACACGGGCACACAGCTGAGGGTCATGGCACACTTGGGCACACAGCCAAGGGTCATGGCACACACGGGCACACAGCTGAGGGTCATGGCACACTTGGGCACACAGCCAAGGGTCATGGCACACACGGGCACACAGCTGAGGGTCATGGCACACTTGGGCACACAGCCAAGGGTCATGGCACACACGGGCACACAGCTGAGGGTCATGGCACACTTGGGCACACAGCCAAGGGTCATGGCACACACGGGCACACAGCTGAGGGTCATGGCACACTTGGGCACACAGCCAAGGGTCATGGCACACACGGGCACACAGCTGAGGGTCATGGCACACTTGGGCACACAGCCAAGGGTCATGGCACACACGGGCACACAGCTGAGGGTCATGGCACACTTGGGCACACAGCCAAGGGTCATGGCACACACGGGCACACAGCTGAGGGTCATGGCACACTTGGGCACACAGCCAAGGGTCATGGCACACACGGGCACACAGCTGAGGGTCATGGCACACTTGGGCACACAGCCAAGGGTCATGGCACACACGGGCACACAGCTGAGGGTCATGGCACACACAGCTGAGGGGCATGGCACACGGGCACAGGGGGAGGGCAGGGGGAGATGGGGCCCCGTGGACCTCGGGAGGGCATCAGGGCTCGTCCCCTCATCTCTGCAAAGCTTCGTGCAGAGCAAAGGGGCTCTGTTTGGCTAGATTGGGCAAAGCCTTGACCTAAAGCTCGGAGCTCTGATGAGCTCCCAGGAGGCAGCAGCAGTTTGGGGTTTGGGGTTTGGGGTCGTCCCTGGGCTCGGGGCCGGGCCTCAGTCGGCCGAGACGGGCAGGGGCAGGAAGAGGATCGCCTTCTGGCCGTAGTGAGTCCGCGGGCCCAGCTTGCTGTTCCCGTTCTTCTTCAGCCCCACAAACCAGTTCTTGTCCGCGTGCATTTTGGAGACGTAGGTATTGTAATGGTTTTCCTCGAGCCTCTCCAGGAACAGGCACTCCTCACCCAGTAACTGCTGAAAGAGAGCCCGGGGAAGGGACAGTGAGCCAGGGCTGCTCCTGACGTGACCATCCCAGCCCAGCTCTCCCCTCTGAGACGCCATCCAGACCCACCTCTGAGATTTCCACATCCCAGTAAAGCTCTTGTTTAAACTGTGGCGTAGGTGGCTTTGATTTACTCCCCTGGGCCACTTGCTGTAGCAAGGTGTCTGTGACCTGGGAATTTTAATTGGCACTGACCAATCAGCCCCGTGCTCCATTAGCTGCTCCTGGCCCTGGCCCCTGCTCTGGCCCTGAGCTGTGTGGTGGCAGCTGCAGGCTCAGAGAGCAGAACCAGAACGGTTTGGGTTGCAAGGGACCTTAAAGACCATCGAGCTCCAGCCCTTTGCCATGGGCAGGGACACCTACACTGGGTGGCAGCTGCTGAGGGGCTGCAGAGCAGCTGCTGCTCCAGCTATGAAACACAATATTTATCAAGTGTCAGGTAGGAAATACAATATTTGCCAGAGGCAGGGCAGTAAACGGCGTTATTTGCTAATTTATTTACGTCCCCCCAAAATAAAGCCAGATGCAGAGTGGCCTTGCAGCTGCCAGAATCACAAACAGAGCCCGTGGTTTGCATTACTCAGCTGTGGGGTGTCTGCAGCCTGCAGCCCTGATCCCAAGGAGGGTTCTCCCACCTACCGAGCCGTAGAGCAGCCCGTTGGTGTCCATGGCCAGGTACTGCCCCGACTGGGTGCTCTTGATGTGCACCACCCCCACGCTCTCTGCACTCAGCTGGAGCTGGACTGGAGCGAAAATAAAACAACAGTGAAAGGAAAGTAGGAAAAGGGGGGAAAAAAAGAGCTGCCAGGAAGTTTAGTGGGGTATTTTGTTGAAGGCTGGCTTATAAAGAGTTTATAGGAAACAGTACAGTGTGTAATAAAAGTGTCTCCTTGTACCCTCTTCTTCAAAGAAATCCCACAGCCATCCTTTAGGAACCAAAGACCAATTTTTCCCTTATTTTACATCAAAGGAAGGGCAGCCTTTTGGTTACGATGCTGGAATGGGACACAGGAGATTGGGGTTTTAATTCTGGCTCTAATTTACAAATTTCTCATGTGGTTTGACAAGACACTTAAGGAGTGACATATGAAGAAGTATTTTGAGAGCTAAGCCAGGGACGGGCAGACTGCAGATGCCTGCACTGCAACCCCCTGATCCAAAGCATCCCACCCAGCTGTCTGCTGCAGCTGGATTTATCCAGAGCACGGAGAATGGAGAATGGGGAAATAGAAAAGGCTGTGGCTGCAGGCACAGTGACTTGCAAATTCCAGCTCTTCCCAGTGATCCTTCCCATCTCATAGGCAGCTTCTTTCCCTAAGATTTATAACAGCAATATTTAGGTTGGTTGGAATGAAGTATGAACGGATGTCTCGGCTCCAGCTCCTTCCTTCCTGTTTATATTTAATTTATTTATCCTTATTTAGATGAGGTAAAAGGCAGTGTTACCTCTTGGCCTGGTGGAACACCCATTGCAGTGAAATCTTTGCTCTAATGGTTCACATTCTTCATTTCTGGCATTTCCTGCTCGGTAAATGATAGTTAATTAGGAAGTAGTGTTGTGGGTGCAGGTTTGCAGGAATACTTGGCCCCTGTGCTTGCCTGCTTTAGGCTGGGAATGTGCACTGGGAAAACCCCAGCCCACCTGCATTCCCTGAGGTGCTGCAGACCTGGGACCTGGCCAAGGAGCAGTGCAGGGAGGAAAGAGGGAAATGGGATGAAAATGATGATACTGTTCTAAAAAGTGTCCCTGAGAGGGGAGTGAGGGACCCTCCTGCTGCCAATGGGATGCTGAGGTTTTTGGACCACAGAAGGAGGGAGAACAGTGGGTCCAGAGGAGGGAGCTTGTGCACTAAATTCTTTCAGGTTCTCTTCCAGGTCTTTGCAGAGATTTCCTTCCATGAAGTAACGGGATGAAAGCAGGAAAAGGAGACTTTTTGTAGAGATGAACATGAGCTTCATCCTGGAGAATCTGCAGTGTCCAGGTAAGATTTCCTTCCATTCCTTAGAATGCCTGTGTAAAGGATGTAGGCAGTGGATCCTGATGTGGGGCTGGACACAAAGGCTTAGAGAGAGTGACTCCTTCTGCTCTTCTTAGAGGTCCTCCCTGATGCTGAGGCCATTTAAGAGAAGAATAAGGATTCTTGATATTTGTCTGGAGCAAAATGCACGTGGGCACAGGCAGTGTGCAGAGACTGGTGCAGCCAGAACGCTGCTGTCCCCACTGACCTCCCAAACAACCCTGGATGTTCCTGTGCCTTGTCCCTCCCTGGGGCTGGCAGGTGCCTTCCCAGCTGGGTGACAATGTCCCACAGTGCCAGTCATGGTCTGGGCTGCTCCTCTTGCACACCAGGGAATGATGCTGAGTGGCTCCATCACGTCCCAGGGGCAGCACCGTGGGCAGGCACGGGTGCTCAGAGCAGGGCACCTCTCACCAATGCTGCTCTGCTGGCACACAGCCCTTCCAGGAGTTTCCTCTGTAAATATTAGTGTATTCCTATATCCCAGTTTATGAGCTCATTTACAGGAGGTTCCTTTCTGGCAGAGGTTTGCAAACACACGGCCCCGGGCCAGCAGCCAAGGAGGTGTGAGCGTGCTGGGATGCAGCACTGCCTGCACTCCCTGCCCACGGGCACAGAGCAGCCCTGGGGACCATGACAAGGTGATGGAGCTGCTTTTCCAGAGGGAAAGGGACTGGGCTGTGTGACAGCATCCAGAGGGAAAGGGACTGGGCTGTGTGACAGCATCCATGCTGTGACACAACAGCCTGGGCCAGGGCACAGCAGTGGGCTCCTGGCCTTGGTGGCTCCCCATGCCCCAGGAGATGCCATCTTGATCCTGAGCTCTCCTGATTCCAGCAAAACCTCTGGAAAATGCTGCAGAGACACTGCCTGAGCTCATACCACCTCTCCTGGTGTGTCTGTGAGCCCAGTCCTGTCTCTTGCAGATCTCTGGGTCATCACCCAGCCTTTCCAGGGGTTTGAGGGCTACGTGCCGGGTTTATTCCTGCCTGGAGGCTGGAGCTGCACTCTGTGTTTATCCAGCCTCGGGGGGCTCATCTTCATCCATCCCCCAGCACTGCCTCGTGCTGGGGAGACAGTGTTTGTAATTAAAACTCGGCTCTAAACCGCCTGTCAGTAAAACAACAATAGCGAGAGGAAAGGTTAAGTTTGGGGGTGAAGCCACATGTGTGCTTGTGGTCTAAAGAAAATAAAAGTGCTTTTCTTAGCACTTTGTAAGGCTGGCTTGGCTCCTCCCAGTCCTTCCTGCTAACGAGATAGGAGCCTGGCAGGTCCCAGTCCCATTCCAGTAAATGTTCAGGATATGAACCCAGAGGCTGCTGCCAAGAGCCGAGGGGAAGAGCCCAGCCCTGCTGCCCAGGGAGCCCTGCAGGAGCTTTGCTGCCTGGCCTGTGCAGCTCTCCTGGGCAGCAGGTTAAAACACCCTCTGAAGAGTTTTTGGAAACTCAAGAGCACAAAAAGCATTAAATTCCCAATGATTCCTCGGTGGGACAAGTGTTGGAGTCTGCAGGAGCAGCTCCTCCCAGCAGAGGTGCCAGAGTCCCACGGGCTGGAGCCAGCGGGGTCACTGACTGCAGGGATGGGGACAGCGAAGGGGAGACCTTGGCCGGGGTGACCTAGGCTGTGGCACACGGATGACAGCGCAGGGACAGCACAAAATGATGCTGTGTGTGGGGTGCCAGGCTGCCCTGAGCCCCCCTGGCAGGGCCAGCCCCCTGTGTGAGCCAGCCCTGCTGTGCCCGTGTCTGCCGTGAGGTGAAGCCAGTGTCAGGTTCAGCTCTGGAGATATCTATGGCTGTGCTCCATATCTACACCTGGACAGCACACATGTCACACCTGCCCTGCTCTGTGCCCCAGCTTTGGGTGTGCCTGGCCCCAGGAGACGTGGCTGGGAGGTGTGCTTGTCCCCTGGAGGTGTGCTTGTCCCCTGGCAGGTGTATTTGTCCCCTGGAGGTGTGTTTGGAGGTGTGCTTGTCTGCCTGGACATGTGTTTGGGAGGTGTATTTGTCCCCTGGAGGTGTGTTTGGGAGGTGTGTTTGCCCCTGGCAGGTGTGTCTGGGAGGTGTGTTTGCCCCTAGGAAGTGTGTTTGCCCCCTGGCATTTGTGTTTTAGGTGTATTTGCCCCCTGGCAGGTGTGTTTGGGAGGTGTGTTTGCCCCCCGGAGGTGCACTGTCCCACCAGCCCCACCCAGATCCCGTTTTCCCCCGCTCCCCATCTCCCATCCCGCTCCCCGTGGGTGCTCACTGTGCTGGTCGCTGCGGTCCCTGGTGCCATCCACGGTGCCGTCGGGCAGGATGCGCAGGAAGTGCCCCCCGTTGCTGCAGTACAGCACTTTGGGTTTCTTGTAGTTGCCCGCGGGCAGGTTGAACTTCTCCGTCAGGGCGCTGAAGGTGCTGATCTCCCCCTCGGCCATCCCGCAGCCTCTCCGGGGCCGGGCTGCAAGGGAGGTGACAGCAGGGTGACACCGAGAGCTGGCACACGCTGCTGCCGCCGGGCTTTAAAGGCAGGCAGGGAGGGATGGAGCCCGGGGGTCCCGGCTGTGATTCACAGCCCGGGGGGATGCTCCCCCAGCTGGGTGGGGCTGGCCAGGAGGGACTCTGTCCTTTTTAATTTTATCGCAGTGAATTCTGTTTTTGTTCTCCTTTCTATTGACGCGCGGGCTAAAATTACACACTCAGAAAAGCGGTTTGAAAAAACAGCCGGTGTCTGATTGGAACCCGCAGGAGGCGGGAAGGGAGCCCAGGTAAAACTCTCCCTCCCCTATTATAACTCTCAAACACAGTTATGAGCAGGAATTGCAACACCCACTGCATGTCAGGTAGTAAATATTGCTCATCTCTTGGCACTCTGCAGCTCACCTGCCCAGGACACGCGTGGAAAAGGTCAGGACACGCGTTGGATGTGGTGGGACGTGGGCAGGGGCAGGAGCTTTCACTGCCTGGGCTCAGCAGGTTTACCCAGACACTGATCAACAGTGTTTGGAAATGGGAATTTTGAGTCCAGGATATGCCATGAGTCAACCAGCAGCATCTCAGTGCCTAAAGGGGCTCCAGGAAAGGGGTTTTGGTCAAGGATCTGGAGGGACAGGATAAGGGGAATTCCATTGCCAGAGGGCAGGGTTAGATGGGATTTTGGGAAGAATTCCTTCCCTGGGAGGGTGGGCAGGCCCTGGCACAGGGTGCCCAGAGCAGTGGGGCTGCCCCTGGATCCCTGGAAGTGCCCAAGGCCAGGCTGGACACTGGGGCTGGGAGCAAGCTGGTCTAATGAAAGATCACATTGAAACCTCATTTTGCTGGAGACTGTGGTCACAGTCCCTGTTTAAGCAGATGCTGTGCCAAAACCTGAAGGCATCACCAGCCCAATCAAAGAAAGGTGCTGTGGATGTTGGAGGCTGGGAAGTGAGAATTGCTGTCACAGAAGTGCCACCACAGACGTGGCATCAGGAGATGCCACAGGTGGGGGCCAGAGTCCCACGGACATTCCAGGTACAGTCATGCTTTTAGCCTAGAAACTACATTAAAATCTCCCACAGATTCATTCTGTCTTTCATACACAGAGTTCTGTAGTGCTTGGAGAGAAGTGGATTTATGAACAGAAAAAGACATGGCACAGAATAACTCTAGATACAGGAAGTCGCTTTAAATGTCATGTATTCCCACAGCTATACTACGGAAAATATTTTATAGTCACTGTTTGTATGTGTTTATAGATTGTAAAAATGTCTCTTTAGGACTGAGTTGTGCTACTGGTACGTTGGGATGGAGCCAGCACCACACTGTGTGGGTTTGCTGTGGTGCTTGGAGTGCCCTGGGAGATGCTGAGGGTGGCAGCTCTGCAGCACACACACTCACACACACGTACAGACACACAGAATCTCCAAACACTCGGCTCTAAACTCTTCAGTATTTAAAAAAAATCTGCAAAAGCAGATGCAAGAAGGGGAAACTACTCCTGGAAATGGACCCCAGATGTAAATTTACCTCCCCAGAGGTAAAATTCTGATTTTCTGAAGGTAAAAAAACCTCTGGAAGTTGGATTGCTGAAAGATGGATCCCTGGAGATGAAGAGTGTGGCTGCTGGTGAGAGCACCCCAGCCACTGCACCAGCTCTGCCTCGAGCACAGACTCCAGCCCAGGCCCTCAGATGCCCCATTTGACACAGACTGGGATTTTGGGAGGTGCTTTCTGGAGTGACAGCCCCCAGCCCCAGCTATTGCCACGAGGCTGGAGATGCAGCCTCAGAAGCTCTGTGGCTCCTGGTGGTTTCCAGAGCAGGTGGTGCCAAATACAGACTCAAAATCTTTGTTTAACGCCATTGTCAGGTGAAATTGTTTCCTAGAGTGCCTGGTCCCTACGTTTATTTTTCTCTCAAGACAGCATCCTCCTCATGTAGTTGAGTTTCCTTGCCAACTGCCAGCCTGTCCCTGAAGGAAAGCCCCAAGTCACCCAGGGTGGCACACGGGGCTCTGCTTCTCCACTGGGCTTTAATCAACAGCAGCAGCACTGGGTAATTTCCTAAAGCTTTTCTTGAACCTTTATCTGAGGGTGAAAGGCACCCAGAGGTCTCCTGTGTTGGTGGTGGGTGGTACTGAGAAGCAAACATCCCAGCTCCAAGGGCTCTGAGCAGGATCTGCAGGCAGGAGTGAGGAGCAGGCTGGATTCCACCACAGTCACCTCAAGGTCTGAGGGCATCTCCAGACAGCTTGAGCAGAGCAGCTCAACTGGAAACAGCTTCTTCATCATCACTGCTTTCCTCTAAGGTTATTTTTGCTATTTTTAGTGCTTGCCAGCTGCCCTGAGTGCCCCAGCAATGCTCAATGAACATTTTCCACTCCCCTTGTCTCCCCGTGCTAAATGCTATCACTGTTCTCAGACTTTATGGCCATGGAGTTGTTCCTCTACAAACACAGCACTCATGGCCCTAGCATTATGCTTTTGGCAGGAACATGTTAGGTTTTTATGGGAATTAAAAAGCTCGAGTGAGAGAGGGAACCTGAACCAAAGACAACATAAAGGGCCTTATTTCTTTGGGTAGGAGCCCAACAATGCTATTAAATAGCTCAAAGCAGAACAGAAAGCTCTCTCAAATATGCAAAGCTGAGAGACACCACACTCCAGTGGTTAGCTGGAAGAGAAAGGAAATGGAGAAAGGGCAATATTCCAAGAGGAGATGGCTGTAAGGGGCATGGCTGCTGCTGAGCTCTGACCCCGCGGGTCACACCAGGGCTGGATTTGGAGCTGGGTCTGAGCCTGTTTGTCCACGAGCAGCTGTGCTTGTGGCTCCTCTCTCCTCCAGCTCTGTGCACAGCCTTGCTGTGCTGCCTGAGAGAAACCCACAGCGAGGAGGGGTCCCTGGGAGCTGCAGCAGGGCACCTGCTCCAGGACAGCCCCAGCTCCATCCATGGCATGGGGAGCTGAGGGCACCCAGCTCTTCCTCCTGGATGGAGAAATCAGCACCCCGAAGGAGCAGAAATCATTTCTGAAGGTAAAAAAAAGCCTTAAAAGTGAGTTAAACCCAAATGTTCCTTTGATCCAGGTCCTGCTGAGCCGTGGGGGCTGCGCTGTGCTGCTCCCTGCAGCTCTGAGGGAGAGGAGCCCAGCTCAGGGCTGCAAGAGCCGTGAAATTCTGAGAAGTTTGGGGTCGCTTCCAAACTTTATCACTGGCCAAACCAGTGGCTTTGATGTGAAATCCCAAACTCTGCGAGCATCTGACTGTGAGCATCGAGGGCTGGTTGTGCTGCCAAGACCAGGCGTGTGAGCTCTGGAATAACAGAGCCACGGGAGGAGGGGGACCTGTGCTCTCTGCTGTAAAGCTGTGCAGACTTCACTGCACAGCACCTGTCTGCATGACAAAGGTGGTGTTGATGGAAATCTGGGGGTTTCCTAATGGTTTTTTGTATGTCAGAATTGCCAGGAATTTTTGTGGCTTTTTTTTTTCTTTTTTTAATGGCTCCTGTGGCACAGATTTAGTGGCCAGCAAAGACTCAACCCAGAGGTAGGCAGCTAAGGTGAGCCTTCCTTCCTTGGGTATGAAATACCTGGCTACTCCATGGAGGAAAGCACAAGTATCTCACCTACTGGGTTCAAACCAGATTGGATTGATTCAAATGCATCAAAATTGTCCTTGGCTTTGGACACAATCTTTTGTGTAGGGTTGGAAAGGAATGTTCTGCATGGCCTCTGAGTGGCCACGGTGATGAAAAGTGAAGCTAATCACAATTGTCATTTAGGTGAACAGCTAGAGATCACACAGAGAGCTCCAGAGAGATGAGAAGCTGCTAAACCCAGGAGCCTCCTGAGGTTTTGTCCAGCTCTGAGTAATGAGATCAGTGTCTTGTGAACCTGGCTCTGGTGAGTTCAGTGGAAAGACTCCAGTTGGTTTCACTTTGGAAAGTGTTATTTTCTCCATTAAAGCAGAAATCCTGTTTGTTCCAGGGCGTGTGACTCAGCTGGGATCAGACACATCACCTCCTGATGGGCTCCCTTCCCATTCCCACTGCTGCCTGCAGCCACCTGAGCAGAACAGCCACTTCCCAGGCAGTTCAGACACTCCTCTTGGGAATGGAGAGCTCTTAGAACAGGTAGAATATTTTTAAGGAATTCAGGCTCTGAATTGCCTTTCCCAGGGGTTCCTGTGGGCTTTGGGGCAATCTGAGATCTACCTGGGCATGTGGAACAAACACCTCTCAGATAAACAGGGATTTTATTCATTGTAAGTTTTAGAGAGCCATTTCATGGGATGGATTTCCTCAGCCAGGAGAGGATTAGAGACCAGGCAGAGGTTTCCTCATGCTCGGTGGGTCTGGGGTTATCATCAGCATGGGCAGCCTGCAAGGGCTCCCCTCCCGAGGGCTGGCAGTGCAAGGCACAGCTCGAATTCCTTGGACTGCACCTCCTCTCAGGATTTAATAAATGATTAGGCAAAGCATGTGATAAATATGTAATAGATCACTCTGAGTATCAGTGGAATGCACTGGCTCATTTCTAGGCTTGTTTATGGCCAGGTGATTTTATCTCTAGTGATGTGATTAGCTACTTAATGAAGTATTTATCAGCCAGGTTTTACCCTTTGCAAGTGGAATATGTTGTGTGAAGTGCAACCAAAAGCATAAAAATCAATTCAACTAATGCCTGCTGTCATCATCTCCTGCTGCCCAGCAGAAAACAGCCATTCCACTCAGTCACCTGGATTTGTGGCAGGTAAATCGGGGGGGGCTGTAAAGCTGAAACTTTGGCAGTTCCCTCAGTGGGTGTCACTGATGGGTGATGACCAACACAGCACATCACGGCAGGGACAGGGTTATCCCATCCCAGCCCTGTGCCCTTCCCAAGGGGAAGCCCCATCCCTGCCCGGAGCCAGGTGTGGCTTTCCCAGAGCTCTGAGCCCGGGACACCCCAGCTGCTGGGACAGCAACCTGTCACCAGGCTGTTGCTGTC